CAAAAAGTGAGGAGGGGGGAATGAGGGGGGGTTGGAAGCCCAGAACTTCTGGGAGGGGGGCTCATGCTCGGGCGGGGGGTTGGACTAGATGACCTCTGAGGTCCCTTTACAGAATTCGATGATTCTGCAAGGGTCCCCTGCTCAAGCAAGGGGGTCGGGCTAGTAGATCTACAGAGTCCCTTCCAACTCTGTTAGTCTCCTATTCTCCTCCCTCCCTCCCTCCCTCCCTCTCTCTTTCTCTCTCTCTCTCACCTGGGCAGGGCTGCAGGCTGCAGAACTCAATCTCCACCTTGGAGCCCTGGCAGTTCTGTCCTTCGAACCCAACGTCGGCACGGTGCCGCCGCCGAGTCCCCACGTTGCAAGTCCGGCTGCAGGAGCTCCAAACGGACCAAGAGGTCCAGCTACAGTTGCCTGTTGGAGGAAGGGTGGGGGGAAGATAAGAATAAGCTTCAATTCCCAGAATCCACCAGCCAATATTCTTTAAGAGGAGAGGACTTCAACTCCCAGGATTCCTCACACTTTATGAGGGGAGGATTTCAACTCCCAGGATTCCTCACACTTTATGAGGGGGGGATTTCAACTCCCAGGATTCCTCACACTTTATGAGGGGAGGATTTCAACTCCCAGGATTCCTCACACTTTATGAGGGGAGGACTTCAACTCCCAGGATTCCTCACACTTTATGAGGGGAGGATTTCAACTCCCGGGATTCCTCATACTTTACCCCCCTCCCCTAATTTAAAAGTTACCTGGGCAAGGTTCTGTGCCGCACACCATCGCCCCCTCCTGGCAGGTGCTGGAACAGAAAAAACATTAACTTTCAGGAATCCGGAAAGTTCTCTGGATGCCAGGACCAACCTGAACACCCTGAGATGAGGGGGAATAGTGTCTGCCCTTCCCCAATTAAGCCAGATTGGCAGACCGGTGGTGAAATGCTAACGGTTCGGACTTGTTGCTACCCTTTCGGCGGAACCAGTAGTAAAACAAAAAGCTTTGCGGAGCAGCTGAGAGGAGAAAGAAGAGAAAAGCGCAGGACAGCCCCCCCCCCGCTTTTCTCTTCTTGATCCTCTCAGCCGATTGGCACGGCAGAACTTCCTCTGGTGTGGAGAAAGCTGCGCGAAATGCGCAATCACGTAAATCAGTTGTTAGAATTCCATCAGTTACCCCCCCACACATTTAAATCATGAGTCTCAAGCCAAACTTCCAAAACTTCCAAAGGATTTATGGGGAGTGAACATGTCTGGCATTGCATGGGTGCAGCTGACTCTGAGACACATCATTCCTTGTCCCCCTTGACCCTGGTTTCCCCACAACCACCTGTATTCTCCAACGAGATACATCCATAGCCAAGAGTCATCAATGACATTCTCAAGTTAGGATTTTTAGTGGCAGAAATTTCAGTCACCAAGTAACAATGTTTGAACAACTATGTATGGAATGCACTTTTGGTTTCCAAGCTGCCGCACTGCTCCCCCCTCCCTTTGTGTTGGCAATTCTAAAAAGACCATAAAAATATTTGAGGAATTCACACTGGTAGGGAAACTGGTAGAATCCCCACACGGTGCCAGACCCTCTTGTAAATGGAAGGAAAAGGCGGGGCGGCTATGCCAATCTCCTACCAGTTGTTGCAAGAGTCTCGGCGGATGGTGGTGCCCGGCGGGTAACTCTCCCCTTGGTGGTAACACGGACACTGGCTGAGCGGCACGCAGGATCCGTTCTGGAGGTAGAGGCCCTCACGGCAATGGCAGCCATCTTGGCAGGAGGAGGCACACTCCACTTGGGTGTCCCGGTCCAGACAGAGCCGGGGGCAAGCACCCCCTTTCTGCCGGCACTCCTCAGCCGTCAGGTAGACCATGTTGAGCGGGCACTGAGCTGCAGGTGGAAGAACAAAGGAGAGGGTCACCTGGGCAGTCCGGGGAAGAGGGGGGAAGGTGGACAACCACCGCCCCCCTGCCCTGTTCTGCAGCCCGGCGGGCTCCCACTTGGGTGGAGGGGAGTTAGACTAGATGACCTCCAAGGTCTCTTCCAACTCTGTGATTCTGTAAAGGCCTCCTGCTTGAGCTGGGGGTTGGACTAGATGACCTCCGAGGTCCCTTCCAAATCTGAGATTCTGTAAGGGTCTCCTGTTTGAGTAGGGGGTCACACTAGATGACCTCTGAGGTCCCTTCCGACTCTTGTGATTATTTAAGGCTCTCCTGCTCGAGCAGAAGGTCAGACTAGATGACCTCCAAGGTTGCTTCCAACCTTGTGATTCGGTAATTCTATAAGGATCTCCTGTTTGAGCTGGGGGTTGAATCCTTCCCAACCTTTTAAATTATATTTAATTTAAGTTAAAGATTAAGTTAATTTAAGTTAAATTACGTTACATTACATTAATTAAATTAAACAGAAGAGAAATAGATTAAATTAGTTTACATTAAACTAATTAATTAAATTGAAGAAAATTACATTACATTAAATAAATTAAATTAAAGAAAAGGAAAGTACTTTGCATTACATTACATTAATTAAATGAAATAAAACAAACGTATATTAAATTAGTTTACATTAATAAGTTAATTAATTAATTAAAATTTAATTACTTTACATTACATTAAATAAATTAAATTAAAGAAAATTAAATTATTTTACATTATTACATGAATTAAATTAAATTTAAAAAACAGAAGTAAATTAAATTAGCTTACATTAATTAATTAAAGAAAAGAAAATTAAATTACTTTACATTACATTAAATAAATTAAATTAAAGAAAATTAAATTATTTTACATTATATTACATGAATTAATTAATTTAAAAAAGAGAAGTAAATTAAATTAACTTACATTAATTAATTAATTAAAGTAAAGAAAAGTAAATTAAAAATTACATTACATTAATTAATTAAATTAATTTAAATTATATTAAGTTATATTACATGATATTAACTTACATTAAATACCACATAAAAATTCACAATGCAAATATAAAAAATTCAGTGCAAATATATAAAAAAATCAATGCAAATATAAACATTCAATGCCATTTTTAAAACTTGTTACCTCTGCAGGGCTGCGTGTTGCAATCTCGGGTCTGGATCAAGGGGCCCGAACAGCCTGGGCCCCCATAAGCTGGCTTGGAACAGGTACGGTCACGAGTTTGCACCCCGGAATCGCAAGGTGTTGAGCAGGTAGACCAGGCCAACCAAGGAGTCCAGATCCCCTCCACTGCAGAGAGATATTCTGCCATTCACCTTCCACCAAAGGCCTGGCCAACAGCCTTTCAAGGGTGTGATTAGGAGCACAGACCTTATCTAGCCTGGAGAGCTGCCAAGTAATATTTCCAAACGCAGTGCTGACAAGGAAGGACTCGGCACAGAGTCTCTGAGATGCACAGACAGATCTTCCCACTGTGGCAACGAACAAATTGTTTCCTGCAAAAGCCCCCTCCCCTTTTGCTCCTCCTTTATCCCTCTGGGAGGGGCATTCACCGTCCACCTGTCACCTTACTCCCACGTTGACCCTGAGTTTGTAATTGTTCCCTTCTTCTGACAGCTCTGTGCATGCGCACACTGGGAACAGGCTCCAGCTGTTCTTCTTCCCCACTGATCTCCAACTCCTAATAACTGCCAGGCGGCCATGGCCCCATCTCTGCCTCTGACGCACAGCCCTCGTCCGAGCCTTCCTCAGCCTCCAGAACCAGCCCAGGTTCCTCCCCAGCCTCCTCACTGTCCAACTCTGCTGCCAGCTCTGCTAGCCGCTGGTAGGCCACAACAGCTTCAATTAAGTTTTAAGCCTGGATTAAGTTTCGCTGAAATTTGAGCTTTTCTTAGGAGATGAAAATCAAAGCTAAGCCAGAATTAAGCTTCGATCAGAGCTGAGCTGAATTTATGAGATGAAAATCAAAGTTAATCTTCAATTAAGCTTGAATCAGCTTAATTTATCAGATGAAAATCAAAGCTAAACCAGAATTTAGCTTCAATCAGAGCTGAGCTTAATTTATGGGATGAAAATCAATCTTCTACTGAGTTTGAATCAAAACTGAGCTTAATTTATCAGATGAAAAACAAAGCTAAACTTGAATTGTTTCAGTCAGAGGTGGGCTTAATTTATTGGATGAAAATCAAAGTTAATCTTCAATTAAGCTTGAATCAGCTTAATTTATCAGATGGAAATCAAAGCTAAACCAGAATTTAGCTTCAATCAGAGCTGAGCTTAATTTATGGGATGAAAATCAAAGCTAAACTTGAATTAAGTTTCAGTCAGAGCTGGGCTTAATTTATTGGATGAAAATCCAAGTTAATCTTTAATTAAGCTTGAATCAAAACTGAGCTTAATTTAAGATGAAAATCAGAGCTAAACCAGGAATAGGGACTCTTCACAGGGACTGCTGTAAGAAGGTATTAGAGCTGTTTGAAATGTGGCGCGCGCGTTTGGACACAAACGCCTGATCCCCGAACTGGTTGTTGTCTTGGTGGAATCCCATCCCTGCCTCAGCCGATGAAATCTAAATCCCGCCTGTTTGGACGAGTGAATTTGGGGCATGGCCACTGCCCATTTTTGGGTCACGCTGTACTGGCGTTGCTTTGGCGGCTCACCTGGGCAGAGAGGCGTCTCGCACTCCTCTTCCTGCACGGTCTCTCCGTCGCACCCCACGGCCTGCGAGGTTCCATTGCAGTGCCGGAAACGTTTCCGTGTGCCAACCAGATCCGGGGCATAGAAACAGGTTTTGGAACAGGGGGACCAGGGAGTCCAGTCGCTCCAGAGCAAGGCTATTTCTGTGAGGGGACAGGAGGGAAGCGGTGTTCTGACCCGGCCTTTGCCAACTAAAAAAATACGATCCTTTTAGTTGCCAGCAGAAAGGGAGCGTTCCTTGTTCCAAGAAACAAACATCAGACAGAGGTAACAGCAAAACCTTTTAATGATTCTTTACGAATTTCATTCCTTCCCGGTGAAAAGGCTGTTTCAAACTAATTGTCTCTGATCAGAACGAGCCTTGCCAATGTGGCGCAAGGCTGCCAAGAATGCTAGATAAAGTTACTCAGAAATATTTCAAACACAAAGAGTCTCCAAACACCAACCAAAATACTCCGAATGTCCACAAGGCTTGAGTGCAAAAACTTCTTTGCTTCCTGCAAAGAACTCCAGGTTCTCAGCTGGCTTGTATCTCTTGGAGAGGTCATCACCTTGTAGCCTTACTCCCGAGTCGCCCGTGCTGCTGTAGCTGCTCTTTCCTTCGAGCAGCCCTGCATGCACACACACTGGGCACAGGCTCCTCGGGGGACTCTTCCTCACTGCTGCCAGCCTCCACAATCTCCGAAGGCAGCATCCCACTCCCTGATGGTCCTGGCCCCATACCTGCATCACACGCAGGCCCCACATCCGAGTTTTCGCTCTCTGAGACCTCAGCCGTCTACACCTGCTGCTGGTGAACCACAACAGGGAGTGGGGGGAAAGCTGTTCATTCCTTAAATGCCTCAGATAATCGACTTGGCAGCTGAAGCTGTTGGCTCACAAGATTATTACTGGAGAGTATGATGGATGACTCTTGGCTATGGATGTGTCCCATTGGAGAATATACGTCCAGAGGGTGGGGGGAAGAGGAGGGTCAAGGGCAAAATGAAGGATGTTTTTCAGTGTCAGCTGCACCCAGCACCAAAGCCAACATGGCCACTCCATGGTTACAATGACAGGTTACAATGTGGAAGTAGACAGGGATAAAGATTTGAGAGAGGAAGAAGCTTCTGGGATGAGAAGTAAAACCTCTTCAAGGAAAAAAAACTGAAAAGGTTTTGCTTCTCATCCAGGGAAGCTTCCTCCCTTCTGAGTAACAGTTCAATCCTTACATCAGAATGGAAGAAGCTTCTTGGAATATGGGAGGTGAGCTACAAAGAGAATGCTTAACACCTTAAGCAAATAAGAGACGATAGTTAAAGAAAAACTTTCTTCTTCTTAAATTTATTTGTACCTTTTTCTTCTTCCTTCAATATAACAAAGATATAATTCAATCCAGAATACGGCTGGGAATAAGGGGGGTGCGGGGGGAATAACAGAATGCATGAAATGGAATTTGAATGACAGTTAAAGTGGTGATTACTATAAAAATAATGTATTGAAATATTGATTAGTTAAATAAGGGAAGTTTGGAATTTAATATGCATAGGACTATTACTAGTAAATCTACAAGAACTTGTTAAATATATTAAATATGATTACTGATGTTTTATCTGTGGTAAAAGGAACGATGTATTTGATGAATGAAATGTTATATTAAAAAAAAATCTAATTAGGGAATATTCTTGGGAACTGTAATGGCACAACTAAAGTTTAAACTGGGGTGGAATTGGAGAGAAAGGAGAAATATTAGAAGTATATAAGTGTATTAAACAACCCCTTCCCTGGCTGGATGAGAAGCAAAACCTTTTCAGGTTTTTTTTCCCTTGAAGAGGTTTCGCTTCTCATCCGAGAAGTTTCTTCTGTTCTGATGAAAGGATTGAACTGTTACTCAGAAGGGAGGAAGCGTGAGGGTTGGTAGAGGGCCGTGGCCCATGGTTTGTGAACCTCTGGCTTAAGGTTTCCTGCTTGAGCAATGGGTTGAAAACTCCACGGTCTGTTCTGAGTCTATTATTCCATATCGATAGCGGGTATCCACCTGGTGCAGTGGAGTCCGGACAGTGTCCCGTTGGACTTGAACCAACCATGGCAATTGGTGATGTTGGAAAAATCAAACGGTTTTAATAGCTATGATTGTGGGAATATCCCACAAATGTTACTGTCTCAGAATTGGCTAGCTGTCAGGATTCCGGCAGTCGCCCCCAATGAAAGCATGAGCTTCGAACCAAGATTCAAAAACTCCATTTATTAGGAGCTAACATGTTGGCATGACCCGTGTGTAAGCTGATTCTGAGACACGTAATTCACTGTCACCTTTGACCCTGGTTTTCTCCGCACCCCCTTTGGGTGTGTCATAATTTATATTTTCCAATGAAACACATTCATAGCCAAGAGTCATTAATCATATTCTCCAATTAAGGTTTTTGCACGACAGGAACTCCAGTTGCTTCATTATAATCTTTGCAAGATATGAATGGAATGCACTTTCGGTTCCAAACTGCTGCATGGCTCTTTCAAACTCCTCCCCTTTCTGTTGGCAACTATAAAACGGGCATAGAAACGTTTTATGAGTTGACATTTACATCATGTTGTGAAGGAATTCCACCTCGAAAGGTGCCCTGCATTTCTGCAAGAACGACATCATCTCAAGGGCAGCATTGCCCAATGGCTAGATATCCAGATACTTGACCGTAAGCTTAGCCATCTAGTAACTGCTCAAGTATAGTTTAATTTTATCTGTACGTTGATTATTCATCCTTTGTACTGCGAGTTTTTAAAATAGTTCCTTGCTCCGGGGTTCTATATTTTCATACACATTTTATATGCTAAAAGTCTATTTTTAATCATCCAAGGTCAGAGTTGACCCAAAGGTGCATTTTTTCCAATAGGCAACACAACTTGTGTTTTTCCCCCTTGAAAAGATTTTTCTTCTCATCCATGCCGTTCCTCTCTTCTGAGTAACAGTTTGATCCTTCCATCAGAATGGAAGAAGCTTCTCGGAATGAGAAGTGACACCTCTTCAAGGAGAAAAAACCCTGAAAAGGTTTTGCTTCTCATCCAGAGAAGCTTCCTCCCTTTTGAGTAACAGTTCAATCCTTCCATCAGAATGGATAAAGCTTGTCAGATGAGAAGTGACACCTCTTCAAGGAAAAAAAAACCTGAACAGTTTTTGCTTCTCATCCAGAGAAGCTTCCTGCTTTCTGAGTAACAGTTCTATCCTTCCATCAGAACTAAAGAAGCTTCTCGGATGAGAATCAAAACCTCTTCAAGGAAAAAAAAACAAGAAAGTCAAGTTGCCTTTCAGGAAAAATTGAGACAATTTAGGTGTGGTTCTTGTGATTTTGTTTAATGCATAAATGCTATGCCATGGGAAATAAATAAATAAAGAGGGGTCTGCCTTGCAGAAAATGATGTTTCTCTTACCTGTGGTGCAGATTGTGTGACACTCGCGCACCTCTTGGGCATCCCCTTGGCATGGGGCACCGCCGTTGGCTGCCGGTGGGTTGGAGGGGGATCTGTAGAGAAAGAGGATGGTTTGGGGGAACTTTTAAAGTAGTGATTAGTTTTCCATCCATTTTTCATGGAGAGGCTACATACAGGTAATCCTTGGTTTATGACCGTAACGGAACTTGCCCATCATGGTCATAAGTCATAATATTCATAAAAGCAAGGATTCTACCAGTTCTGCCTGGTTCAGCCCAGTTCGTCACGGTTCGGTCAAAGCAGTAGTGATGAGGATCATCTGTGAGCAAACCAGTTCGTTCCGATGATCAGCTGTTGGGATCCCCTGCCCGCCCCGTCTCTATTCTGACCTTCATTTCTTGGTTTTCAAGCTCAGCTGCTTTGCGTGGCACAGCAGATTGCCACATGCCAGCTGTTGAACACACAGGGAGAGTGCAGGATTGCAGGAAAAGGTCGGTAGCAAACTATCTGTGTGCGCGCGATGCGAGTGCTCACCGAACCAATTGTTACACCAGTTGAATCCCACCCCTGCCGTTAAGTGACTGCCGGGGTCGTTCTCTGCTTAAGAGAATGCTGCAGTCGTTAAGCAAACCAATGGTGCGCTGTGGCCCGTTGTGCTGAAAAATGGCAACAAATGTCCTTTATTTGTTTTGTACAAAACTGCCGTAACACACATTCATGGGACCACAGGACACTTCAAAGGCAGAGTTAAGGTTCCGACCGACAAACTCAACCAAGTCAGCATTTTGAGATGATCAGATTTCTCAAAGGAGTGTTTTATTGAGTCACGGACTGAAGGAACCAGTGTGGAGGATGGATGGATGGATGGATAGAAGGATAGATATAGATAGATAGAATACCTTTATTGTCATTACATTCAAAATACAATTAAATTTGAGATAGTTAGATAGATAGATGATAGATAGATAGATAGATAGATAGATAGATAGATAGATAGATAGATAGATAGGCAGGCAGGCAGGCAGGCAGGCAGGCAGGCAGGCAGGCAGATGGAACAGATAGATAGATTAGAGAGAGAGGGATACAGCAGATAGACAAATAGAGAGAGAGATTGGAGAGATACAGATAGATGTAGAGATAGAGATAGATAGATAAAACAGATTATCTATCTATCTATCTATCTATCTAGAGGTAGAGAAATAGATATAGATAGATAGATAAAACAGATAGACAGACAGAGAAAGAGAGAGAGAGAGGTAGAGATAAAGATATAGAGATAAAGATATAGAGATAGATAGATAGATAGATAGATAGATAGATAGATAGATAGTTGGACAGATAAGATACTTTCCTAAACATTAATTGTTGATTCTGAAATGGACTTGGCATTGGATTAGCGGTGGTTTAAAACTTGAGAGGAAGAAAATAAAAGCTGACTGTTGGAAATAAACTTTAAAGAAACTATTTGGATTAAATTGCTAATTAGAAAGTTGCAAAATGGTGATATCTCTTCTGGCATAAAAAATGGAACTTAGAAAAACAAAAGACATACTACAAGAACCAGGTGAATTACTGAGTTTTGCTTTAAAATTTATTGAAAATGCGATTGCAGAATATGAACAACAAAGACAAAAGGCAGAAGAGGAGGCGAAGCGAATTATTGAAGGGCCATCTTTGGTGATCATCGAGAACAAAGAACTCTGGAAAGAAAGAGGGAAAGAGTTGGAAATAAATATAGGAGATTTAAGAAATTTAATAAAAAGGGGAATATCCGAAAAATTGAAAAAGGGGAAAAGAGTCAGCAGAAATTCGAAGGGCGGAAGGAAGCTGTAAATAGAGAGGGGGATAAAAATTGGAGTGAAAGAATAAAGGAGAAAAGACAAGGGGAAAGAGAGGACAAGGAACAGGATTTGGGGAAAAAGAAATATGGGAATTATTTTAAAAATGGGAAAAAATTGCTTAATGAGAAACAGAGATAATGGGTGATTAATATTTAGAAAGGGGATTCTGCAAAGTATTGAGGGGTAATATAAACAAATTCATAGTTATGAATTAGGGACATATAGATTGATAAGATGGAAAATAGAATTGTTATTTTTTGATACTGGAATTTAATGCTCTTCTGTGTGCGTAGAGATAATTGTAATAAATAATGTAAAAAGCTTATTAAATACATTGAAATATTTTTAGGATTGGAATGTTGTTGTTTTTTGTTCAAATATGAATGGAATAATTAATGGAATATGTGTATTAAATATATTGAAATAAATGAAATTATATAGGAGGAGAGCTGAAATGGAATTAACTTTAGGGCTTAGGATTGGTTTATGGTTTGAATGAGTAGATTAATATGTCCTTCTTTTCTGAAAAAATTAATGAAATTAAAAAGGGATAAAACCATGCAGAATCTGATTTATATATGCTATGTAGTTTTAAAGGGATTATTAAGTAATGTTTCTGGTAATGATGTTAAATGTTCAGTGGGATTTAAAAGGGGTGAAAATAAATGAGTACGTAACTCAGAGGTGGGGCACTTATATTGATATTTTAGGAGGGAAACCAATTTATAGATGAAGTGTTCTTTAACTAGAATTTAAGATGAAATATACAAATGCGACAGTTAAAAGTACTAAAGTATAAAGATTATGAAGTTAACATAACGTGAATTAAATAATAAGTATTTGGAATAATATGATAAAATAGAAAATGTATAAAAACATTGTTAAGATAAGAAACTGGATACAAAAATTGAATAAGTAACTATTGTCATATTTGTATGTATATGTGAAATCTGTAATCATGCTGTTCACTAAAAAGAGATGTTAAAATGTGGAAAACTGAATAAAACTTGTTTTTTAAAAAGAGATATTTTCCTAACAGGTCGTGCAACTGACACCCAATTCTTCGCCCGACTTCTACTGGATCTCGAACGATCCCCGCTCCCCCCCCGCCAAGGCTATCGTAGCCTCTAACGGCACGCGGGGGAAGCAACGCTGGTGCGGGATGCTTCCTTTCTTACCGGAACCTTTGCTGCATCCCAACCCCGCAACTCCGGCTGCAGGGCGTCCATGGAGACCAAGCCGACCAGCCGCACTTCACAGGACAAGCCACCGCGTCGCAGGTCACCGTGCCCTCCAGGCAAACGCTGCGGGAGGACGGAACCAAGGTTAAGCATGTCCCCTTCGCTTCCGATTCAGGGGTGCCGGGGGAACAATGACCGGGGGGGTGGTGCGTGAAGAATGTTTATCCCATGTGATCCCCTTTTGGCAATGGGGAAACCCGATTCGCTTAACAACAGGTTTGCTAATTTCACCACGGCAGGGATTCACTGAACTAAAGCGGTGAGGAAAGTTGTAAAACGGGATGGCCCTCACTTGACCCTCATGTCTCGCTTAGTGTCAGGATTCTGGCAGTCCCCCCCCATCCCCCCCCCCGTTTAAATCCGGAGTCCCCAGCCAAAACTTCCAAAGGATTTATGGGGAGTGAACATGTCTGGCACTGCCTGGGTACAGCCAACTCTGAGATACATCGTTCCTTGTCCGCCTTGACCCTGTTTTCCCCTCGCCCCCTGGGTGTGTCATAAATCATATTCTCCAACGAGATACATCCATAGCCAAGAGTCATCAATCATGCTCTCCAGTTAGAATTTTGAACCTTTAGTTTGAAACTAGGTACAACCTCTGAAAAACTCTGTACGGAATGCGCTTTCAGTTTCCAAGCTGCCACACTGCTCCCCCCTCCCTTTCTGTTGGCAACTCTAAAAAGACCAGAGGGATATTTTAGCAACATTCAGACTGCCATCTGTCAGAAACGCTCTAGCCCTTCCTTACTCTCCTTAGTTGCTCTTCTCTCCGCTTTTTCCCAAAGTCTCAACCTCCATGTTTTTGTAATACGGCGAGCAAAACTGGATGCGGCGTTACAGGCGGGGCCCTACTGGGGTGTTATCCTTTCATCCTGGGAGGGATCCCCCCCAGCCCTCCCCATTTGGGAAACCTCAGCCCCCCCACACCATAAAATTGCCTCCGACCAGCCCTCCCTTCTTTTAGGCACACCGTTATTCTAGAACAGCAGTCACCAATGGTAGGCCGCAGCCCCCTGGTGATCTGCGAGAAAATTTTGGAGGGCCGCAGAAAAATGTCACCCCCAGAGCACACACCCCCAAAGCAATTAATCCAGGCTGCGCGGGAACACAAGGCTGCCCCGCCCACATGGCCCGCGGGAACCCTCCCTGCCCCACTCACTCCTTATCTGGCAAACTTGCCTGCTAAGTAGCTATTTTTCCCTTTTTTTTCTTCCCCCGACCATCAGCTGTTCTGCTGTGCCGGGAGATTTAGATTAGCTAAAAAGCAGAAAATGGTTGGGTTTCTTGCTTTCTAGCTAGTCTTCAGATTTTTGGCTCTGCTTTTAAGCACAGCCGAACCTCCCTTAGGACTGAAGGTTCTATTATTCAATGAAGACTCAGGTAGCCGATGGCAGAAAGATAGA